CCTATTACCACTGATACACACGAGGCCACTGAGGAATGGGAAATGGTGTGCAACCATGTCAGTTGCGTAGAGGGGTTCAGCCATGACCACATATCTGACACGGTGCTCCACGCACACACGATGAAAATTGAGGGGGAACTAGAGGGATTTCCGGTCCTAATTTTGGTCGACAGTGGTGCGAGCCATAATTTCATCACACCTGAGTTGGTCGATTCTCTCAACCTGTCCGTCCACGACACCAAGGAGTTTAGTGTTTGCCTCGGGGATGGTAGTCGGAGGTCCTCCAAGGGTCGCTGCAATGAGCTACACCTTCTCTTAGGGCGACACCATTTGACGATTAGGGCTTTTCTTTTGGATCTGGGTGGCGTTGACCTAATTTTGGGGATGGAGTGGTTGGAAACGTTAGGGGAGGTGTGTCAAGATTGGAAGAAGAAGACGATGCAATTTCGTCACCAAGGTAAGACGATCTTGCTTCGAGGGTACCAAATGCGTACTGGGGCTCAACCGGTTGCTCTTCAAGGGTTGTTGCATGCTGCCGAGTTAGACACGCACGTTGGTGAGGATGTGCCTGACAGCCTACACCAGGCTCATCTCTCAGCCGAACAGCAAAGGGCACGTACACATGTGCTCACCCAATTTCAGACCGTGTTTGACAAGCGGCTAGGGCTCCCACCGTCTCGAGGGCATGACCATGCTATCAACCTGGTTCCAGGCACGGGCCCAGTAAGTGTTCGTCCGTACCGGTATGCGCATCACCACAAAGACGAAATTGAACGGCAAGTGAAGGAGTTATTACAGACAGGGGAGATTGTGCACAGTGTGAGCCCTTTCTCAAGCCCAGTTATCTTGGTTAAAAAGAAAGATGGCACCTAGCGGATGTGTGTGGACTATCGAGCCCTGAACAAGGTGACTGTCCCAGATAAGTACCCCATCCCTACCATCAACGAGCTATTGGATGAACTCTATGGTGCTAGGTATTTTTCTAAAATTGATTTGAAGTCTGGCTTTCACCAAATCCGGGTCCGACCAGAGGATACCCACAAAACCGCTTTTCGTACACATGATGGGCATTATGAGTATCTTGTTATGCCTTTTGGCTTAACAAATGCCCCATCCACTTTTCAATCGACCATGAATTCTGTTTTCCGAGCTATACTTCGCCAACATGTTCTGGTTTTTTTTGATGATATACTCGTGTATAGTCATACCTGGGATTCTCATTTATGCCATTTGGCAGAGGTGTTATCTCTGTTGCAGGAACATTACCTCGTTGTTCAGCGGAAGAAATGCAGCTTTGGTGCTGAATCTGTGGAGTGCTTGGGCCATGTGATTTCCTTCCAGGGAGTAGCCATGGACCCTTCAAAGATTCAGGCTGTTCTGAATTGGCCACTCCCACGAAATGTTAAGGGGGTCCGCGGATTTTTGGGGTTAACCGGCTACTATCGGCGTTTCATTAAAGATTATGGTAAGATTGCGCAACCCTTGACTGATCTCACCAAGAAGGATGGTTTTATTTGGAGCGACTCCGCCAAGACAGCTTTCGAACATTTGAAGAAGCTTCTCACATCTGCTTCAGTTTTAACTCTTCCGGACTTCTCCAAAGATTTCGTCATTGAATGTGATGCTTCTGGCACTGGTTTGGGAGCTGTCCTGATGCAGGAGAAACAACCAATAGCTTACTTCAGCAAAGCTCTTGCTCCCCGCAATCTTGCCAAATCAGTTTATGAGAAAGAAATCATGGCTTTGGCTCTTGCCGTTCAACACTGGCGTCCATACTTGTTGGGACGTTCCTTCACTGTGTACACGGACCATAGGAGTCTCAAACACTTGCTGTCTCAGCGCATTACTACCTCAGATCAACACTGTTGGTTATCTAAGCTTATGGGGTATCAATTTGAGGTGATCTACAAGCCTGGCCCTGAAAATAAGGCAGCAGACGCCCTATCTAGGATGGCGGAACCAGGAGATCTTGAGCTATCTAGTTTGGTTTCAAGCCCCTACTGGTTGGACCTGAGTATCGTTAAGGCAGAATACAATTCGGATCCCTTGTTGCAGAATGTCATTACTGCCTTACAATCGGGTCAAGCTGCTCCTGTGGATTATATCTTGCAAGGGGAACTGTTATTTTACAAAAGGCGGATGGTTTTATCCTCCCACTCTTCCCTCATTCCTGTTTTGTTAAAGGAATTCCATTCTTCTCCTTGCGGCGGGCATTCAGGTTTCACTAGGACTTTCAAGCGGATTGCCAGTGGGGTTTTCTGGAAGGGTATGCACAAGCAGATTTTGAATTTTGTGAAATCTTGTGATGTGTGTCAACGCCATAAGCATCAAACATTATCTCCTGCTGGCCTTCTCCAACCATTGTCGGTACCTCAATTGATTTGGGAGGATGTCTCCATGGATTTCATTTCCGGTTTGCCCAAGTCCCACGGCTATGAGGTGATTTTAGTGATAGTGGATCGTTTATCAAAATATGCTCATTTTATTCTTGTTAAACACCCTTTTACTGCCAAGCACATTGCTGATTTGTTTGCTAAAGAAGTGGTTCGCCTACATGGACTACCTCGGTCTATTATAAGTGACCGTGATCCCCTTTTCCTTAGTTGTTTTTGGAAAGAATTATTCCGCTTGCAGGGAACTGTTTTGAAGATGAGTACATCTTATCATCCCCAAACAGATGGACAAACGGAGGTAGTCAACCGCTGTCTTGAGACCTATTTGCGTTGTTTTGCATCGGAGCAGCCCAAACTTTGGTCACTGTGGCTCTCTTGGGCTGAGTACTGGTATAACACCTCTTACCACAACTCCATTGACACTACTCCTTTCGCTGCTGTCTATGGCCGCCCTCCTCCCAACATTACACATTATTTGGCAGGGGAGACTCAAGTGGATGCCGTATCTCGGGTCTTGTATGACAGGGATGAGGCCTTGCGCCAACTGAAATATCATTTGACCCGTGCTCAGTCATCCATGAAGAAACAAGCTGATGCTCACCGTCGCGATCTTGCATTTGCTGTTGGGGATTGGGTTTATGTGAAGTTAAGACCACACAGGCAGATGTCCGTCTCCAGGCGCATTAATCCCAAATTGGCTGCACGTTTCTATGGCCCTTTTCAAGTTTTGAAGAAAATTGGGGCAGTAGCTTATTAACTTTTACTTCCTGAAGGGTCTCGTGTCCATTCCGTTTTCCATATCTCCCAATTGAGGAAGGCTGTCGGTTCTGTTTCAGTAGAGGGGGAGCTACCTGCTGGGTTGGCTGTAGGAGAAGACAGTGCTCCTGAACCCGAATCCATAATTGCCGTAAGGCACGCCAAGGAGGGCAGTAACTCTTGTGCAGAATGGTTGGTCCTTTGGAGGCACAAACCTGTTGAAGAAGCCACTTGGATGAAAGCTAGCGATGTCACAGGGCAATTCCCACACTTCTGCCTTGAGGACAAGGCAGCAATCACAGACGGAGGTATTGTTAGGAATGGTGAAGCAATTGTTGATCCGTCTACTGAAACTGTTGCAAGCAGCCCAACAACAACAAGCCCATACACGGGAGCGGGAGGACAACCCAGAGTTAACCCAATGCTGGTTTACAAAAGGAAGAATAAGGAAGCGAGAGTGGATGACGTGTAATGAATTGGCTCTTTTAGTCATTGTAATGTCAGTTATGGTGAGAGAGTGAGTGGTATAGTTTGTTATTGCTTGTTATTGCTTATTGACGCATATAGGGAGGTGAGAGCGTGGGAGCAAGTTACGCATTATCAATTTTCTGAAAAGTTTCTACTTGTGTAGAAAGGGGCTATTGGATAATCTCCATAGCAGGGAGCTTGGCTCTGTTATATCTTTACTCAGAATAAACTTGTAATCGTTCCATTTTCATTAATATACAGATCAATATCCTTTTAATTGATAGACTTAGTAAAATTTCTATCAAATAGCTTCGGCAAATGCTGGTCTAGCTTTATTCGAGGCTTGTAATGGGATGTTCATAATGGTAAGACTATTAGATTTTGGCAAGATAATTGGCTCTCTGTTGATTCCAACTTATTATCAGTTTCCATTCATACACCATGTGAAAATAACTTCAAGCATCCAGAAAATGCCCATGTTATTATATCTAGATATATTGATGATATTCTTGCTTCGCGTGATCATCAAAGGGCCTCTATTTCTACATCAGGTAATTTTCACTAGAATTATTCATGGACGACTCCTGCAAATGGATGGGACAAGTTGAATTTCGATGGAGCTTCAATTAGAGCATTAGATCGTGCAGCAAGTGGTGGGCTTTTACGAGATGAATGTGGTCAATGGATTAGAGGATTCTCATACTCCTACACATACTGTAACCCACATAAGGCTGAACTTATGGGAATCCTTAAGGGATTAGAATTGGCCTGGAATTTAGGAATTCGTCATCTTATTGTTGAAGGAGATTCCACTACTGTACTTTCTGTCTCTGTTCATAATCAGCATGACCAGAGAGATAGCTATACCTCGATCAGTATTAAAGCATGGCTGCAAAAAGATTGTACAGTTTGCTTTAATTATCTCCCTAGATCCCACGATGTATGTGCTCACTGGATGGCTAAACAAGGGCTTCAGTCTTCTTTTGGTTATTATATTTTCAATAATATTCCACCTGGTCTCAATGTGTTAATCACTGAAGACAGGAGGATGATGTCAAACAATCCTATGTAATGTGTTTTCTTGGGCTTTTGCCCTCCTTATATACAAAAAAAAAAAAAAAAAAAAAAAAAAAAAAAAGATGCAATCAACAAAACCATTTGTTCAAGTTAATCAAAGGTCTTAAATTTGAGTCCCGAAAATGGAAAAAAAGGATTGCTAGAGAGCCTCCCTCTGTATGGGTCTAGCAGTGCTTGAACCGGAATAGTTGGGTATTTGATAAATTGGTTTGAAAAAGAAAAGAAATGCAATCTATATTGATAATAAAAGTAATATCCAACTTCCATGGATATGTTTAAATATAACTGGGAAGGAATAAGGGTAACCTCAATAACATATGATAGTCATCAAGTCTTGGTGGCAACAAGTTATCTGACATAAGTGACTGTCGAAATGCTTCCACTGCTTGGAGCTCTTTAACATCTCGAACATCCTCAATCGAAACAGAATTGCTACGACTCCCACTCTTTCTCCTGCTTTTCTTCCTAAGAGAATGCCTGAATTTGCTGGACGCATTTATTGCTTTCTTCTTCAGACTCCCAATTCTGGTACGCCTATCATCTTCTGAATTCTCAAAATCCGATTTCCGCTCTCTTCTTTCATCATGACCAGAGAACCCTTCAAAGCCTAACAAATAAAATTTCCACACATCCCATTCAGGTTATATTTTAGAATTAAAACCAAATACAGAACTCAATGAACATTAACTTCTTCAATCTTCATGACAAGTAAATCCAAAGCATTGCAGTGAACAAGAGGGGTAAGTAGCTGAGCTACTAATTCGTTAAATCTAAGAGCATGTATTTGCATTAAATTAAATCCAGCTAAGTCATTGCGGTATAAATTCTTCATTACAAGTAAATCCAAAGCATTGATAGTACTTCATTACTAATTAGTTAAAATCTAAGAGTATCTATTTGTATTAAACTTAATTCAGCTAATTTATACCTTAATTACGGTGGATTTAGAGATCTAGATCAGCACATAAGATAATTGGTTTCAACAAAGGGAAATTCATATCTTGAATCAATGAATAAATGAACAAATAAAGGTTATTGATATGGAAATTGAACGCAAAAAATCGTTTTACTGATACTCACAGGGACGCGCGAACCGATCAAGCGGCCCGGACATGTCAGGATTGTTAAATCGATATCCAAGTAGAGAGCTAAGGAAGCATCAAACTCAAGGGTTGAACAGAGAAACAGAAACCAGATCCAGAACCAAAATTAAAATTTATAATAATTATACTTTTTTTTTCCCCAATACTAGACAGAAGAAGGTGTCGGCAGAAGACAAAGAAACAGAAAAGATGAAAGCCAATGAAACGAAAGGAATAGTTTATAAAACGGTGAAAATTTTTCAAACTGTAAATCTCTAAGTCAAAGATGGGTTTGCCTACTCAGTCCACCGGGGAAAGTCAGATATTTTTTAAAGGGTTTGGTGTTTGTCATATTTTAAAGGAAAAGTTCACCGATGCCCATGTGGTTTACTTCAGAATCACTTATGCCCTTGTGAATTTTTTCTTATTACTTATGTCCCTATGGTTTGTAAAAGGGTATGTTTTTTATCACATATACCCCTGTGGTTTCTTATTTTTTACAAAGCACAGGGGCATATGTGATAGGAAAAAAAACACAGGGGCATAAATGATTCTGAAGCAAACTACAAGTGCATCGGTGAACTTTTCCCTATTTTAAATGACATAAGTTAGGTCATTTTAGGAGAGATATAGACACATGAAAACGGAAATTATGGGAGAGAGAAAGTGGGTGAGTTTTTTTAATTTAAAATTCAAATTTTCTGTGTCTGTATCTCTCTTAAAATGACATAACTTTCTGTCATTTAAAATTACAAACATTTTTCTCTTATTTAAACTAATTGATTACCTGTGCGATGCACGGAGAAAAAAAAATCAGTTTGTTTGTCCCGTAAACGAATTAATAAGAAAATTGGTTTGTTCGTATGACATAAACGTGTAACTTTTAAGGTATGAACAAAAAAAAGAATATAATAATTTAAACACAGTAAATTCCATGGTTGACAGCAAAATCTCCATTAAAAAATATAAATGTCATGTTGACATCAATATAATAAGAAATATGTCCAACCGATACTCACAACAGTTGTAAAATATCGTCCGCCATGCACTATTGGTATTTGCTGATGTTCGAAATGAATCATAAACAATATATAAACAATATTTGGAAAAAAAATTATTGAAGGGAATTATATAGTTTAGGCAGATGAATAATTCAGAATTACAATGAAAAACCTTTGACTCTGAAAAATGACAAGGGAATAATATACTGATTGTGCCTCGAATACTGAATCTGCATAACAATAAAAAAATTAGCAAAAGAATAGGCATAACAACTAAAGGAAATCAACAAAGAAGATTAAAAAATATTTTCTGATAAAAAACTGAGATCTTACCTGATACCAAACAACAATGTTATCTTTTTGTAGAAATAACCAAGTATACTACACTAATCTTTGAAATACTTCCTTGTAGACGATGTTAAAGGCAGTGGGACATTAAATGCCTTGACTGCCACCACAAATGGTCATTAAATTATTCGATTTAAAGATTAAAATTCGATTTTTAAAAGATATTTTTTTCCCACCATCCATATTTAAATTAAAAATTTTAAACCATTTCAAATTTTGAATTTCAGATCACACAACCAATTCTAACATAAAAAGCAATTAAAACACCTGATTATCCAATTAAAATTTTGAATTTCAAAACCATATTTATTAATTAATTATTCTTTTATGTCTGCCACAACAAATGGTCATTTAATTATTCGATTTAAATATTAAAATTTGTTTTTTAAAAGAAATTCTTTTCCAACCATCCATATTTAAATTCAAAATTTTAAACCATTTCAAATTTTGAATTTTAGATCAGATGACCATTTTCAACATAAAAAGCTATTAAAACAATTGATTTCTTTTTGGATACCAATGTGATGGGCAGTGAGACACTCAATGCCTTGTCTGCCACCACAAATGGTCATTAAATTATTCGATTTAAAAAATAAAAATTCAATTTTTAAAAGAAATTTTTTCTCACCATCCATATTTAAATTCAAAATTTTAAACCATTTTGAATTTTAGATCAGATGACGCATTCCAACATAAAAAGCAATTAAATCAGCTGATTTCTTTTTGGATACCAATGTGATGGGCAGTGGGACATTCAATGTCTTGTCTGCCACCACAAATGGTCATTTAATTATTCGATTTAAAGATTAAAATTCAATTTTTAAAAGAAATTCTTTTCCGACCATCCATATTTAAATTCAAAATTTTAAACCATTTCAAATTTCGAATTTCAGATCACACGACCAATTCCAATATAAAAAGCAATTAAAACACTTGATTATCCAATTAAAATTTCGAATTTCAAAATCATATTTATTAATTAATTATTATTTTATATCTGCCACCACAAACGGTCATTTAATTATTCAATTTAAAAATTAAAATTCGATTTTTAAAAGAAATTCTTTTCCAACCATCCATATTTAAATTCAAAATTTTAAACCATTTCGAATTTCGAATTTCAGATCAGACGACCAATTGCAACATAAAAAGCAATTAAAACACCTGATTATCTAATTTATTTTGTCTGTCAGCTCTCTTGATTCTTAATTGTTATGATATTTGAATAAAATATATAACAAAGATAATGTCTTTGTTATATCATTATTGTGTATATATTATTTAAAAAATAACCATAACGAAATTGTGAATTGAATGACAATCAGGTCTTCAACAATTGTGAAATTTGTTTTTGTTTCTATTGATCTCCATGAATAGAGATCGTGAATGCATGTCCGTGAAAAAAGTTTTCTTTTTATTGAATTTTGAATTTTGAATTTCAGATTATGCAAAATAAATACATAATTTCGAAATTTAATTGATAAACCATTTAAAAATTTCGAAAATTCAATTTTTAAAAGAATATTGGTATGATAGTTTATCTTATAGAGTTTTCTTTTTATTGAATTTAAAATTTCGAATTTCAGATTGTGCAAAATAAATACATAATTTTGAAATTTAATTGATAAACCATTTAAAATTTCGAAAATTCAATATTTAAAAGAATATCGGTATGATAGTTTATCTGACATGATAGTTTTGGTTTTGGGATTTAATTTATTTTGTCTGTCAGCTCTCTTGATTCTTGATTGTTATGACATTTGAATCAAATATATAACAAAGATAATGTCTATATAACAAAGATAATGTCTTTGTTATATATTATTGTATATATATTTTTTTAAAAATAACCATAACGAAATTGTGAATTGAATGACGATCAAGTCTTCAACAATTGTGAAATTTGTTTTTGTTTCTATTGATCTCCATGAATAGAGATCGTGAATGCATGTCCGTGAAAAGAGTTTTCTTTTTATTGAATTTAAAATTTCGAATTTCAGATTGTGCAAAATAAATACATAATTTCGAAATTTAATTGATAAACCATTTAAAATTTCGAATTTCAGATGAGATGACCAATTCCAACATAAAAAGCAATTAAAACAGTTGATTTTTTTTGGATACCAATGTGATGGACAATGAGACATTCAATGCCTTGTCTGCAACTATTATTCGATTTAAAAATTAAAATTCAATTTTTAAAAGAGTTTTTTTTTCCAATTTACCCAATAAAGAAAGTTTGTATATAACCAAATTGTAGAATTAACCAGGAAGTGACACTTGGCAAAACTTTCCAGCAGTAAACTCTCCTTTATATATATATATATATATATATATATATATTTGTGTCCCGCAAGATGATACTAATATTTCTCATATTCTATATATATATATATATATATATATATATATATATATATATATATATATATAGAATATGAGAAATATTAGTATCATCTTGCGGGACACAATTTTCTTTTGTCTTATACATACACAAAAAAATGAGTAAGATTCATATTTTTTTCCTCTCTTTTTTTAATAAGTCTTATTTTTGATTTTTAGTATATTGCATAAGAAACGTATTTTCCAATTTTAAATATTTATTCATCAAATGCTTTGAAGTTTTAATATGGCCTAGATTTAATTAGAAAATATTATTTTAAATTTAATCCAACAACTCATGATTATGCAGTTCATCGATTATTTTTAGGATTTTATAAGAATAATGTTGTAGGAAAAATGATTATATAATCTTAAATGACAAATGAAATTTTTTTTTATTAAATGAAAATGTAGTACTATCCGAAATTATGACTACATAACTTCTCCAATCTCGCATGGTACTGCTTTTTGTTTTCCGGGTCCTACATGTATTGCATTATTAGCCACCATTTCTTTAGGTGGGTCCACGTCCACAATTATTAGACTTGGCGGGAATTAGCCGTGGGTGCGGTAGTAGTTGGGAATTATGATATAGACTGAAAATCATCATGTTTTTTTAATAACTTTTGAATAATTCGTATGATGTGATTTGTAGTTCATAAATCAAAATCAATATAAAATTAAAGAACCCATTTTCTTAATTGAGTGTGACCCCAACTTCTATTATTCTATTATAAAATAAGAAATCGTAATATTGTATATTCATGCAAAGTTTTTTAATTTTTCGGCAAACCACGCAAAAATTGAATAAATCAACGTTTTACGAATGATCGGCACAACAATTGGGACCAAAGGGAAGTATAGAATATGGATTTTCCTTTATCCGTAAGGCATTTTACTTCTTTATTTTTTTGAGTCGACACTCGTGAGTCGTGACTCGACAGGCACTTTCTTATTGCTTTCTTTACTTATGTAGTACTTTCATAATGACACTCAAGATTTGCTGACTTTTCATTCACCTCATTATTATTACCTTCGCGGCGTGGCATTAAATTCTTTTATTTATAATGAAACAAAATGGTCACACGGTTGTTTCCAGAATTCCAGGAATACAAAACTCTAGATATGACATCAATAAATACTGAGAGTGGTTATTTGATTCCTCATTGTAAAAGTTTTCTATGAGCAAGTCTACCTACAAATAAACCAAACGCCCAATGGAAAAGAAAAAGAAAAAAGAAAAAAAACCCTGGGAACTAAGTAATTGATTTATAGCATTTTATCCAACCATCCCATATATTTTAATAAAATAGTGAAAACAACCATCAGCTACATGCTGCGTCCCATGGATAAAACCACATTACATATTAACAGCTTTTGTGGATTGAAACAAGTACCAGAGAAGTAATAAAGTTCCACATGAAGCATTAGCATTAATGTTTAGAAATATATACAAATTTTCACAGGCCATGTAAGCATATATATATATATATATATCGGCCGAGGAAGGGAGAGACATGACTGTTATCTGCTGTACCGAATCCCATCATTGACATTCTAATATAAGATTGTATGTAAAATTAAAGCGCTCAGGATCTGCAACAAAATAAAAGTTGTCAACATGCTTGAAAACTTACCAACAAAATAAAAGTGACTCTGCTAGAGAGGTCTTATGGTATTGCATCAAACGTTGATTTTTCATATCAAATAAGTTTCATACCTGTTATTCACGTTTTTTCCAGCCCTAAGTTGATTAAGTTTGTCCCTCCACAAAGCTGGAGTTGCATCAGAAACATGAGATTTGAAAGTAGTAACATCAGAGACGTACAATTTGTACTGTACTCCATAAGAAATGTAATCTCACAGGACTCGCAACCTAATTCAATGCATGTACTAAAGAAGAGCCATTTATCTAGACAACTGGATTCCCAGAACATGTTAAGCTTCACAAGGACATATGAAAGTACGAATAAAAATAAAACCTATAAATGCCTAGCAAAAACATGTTCTGATGATGATGATTTAAGTGACCTCATCTGTGTCAGGTTTCTTTCTTAATGCTACGGGCATATGGCATAACAATTCGTTTTGATTAAAACCGATGATACGAAATGCTTATAGACTATACTAAGGTGATGAAAGTGGAAAGGATTGTGATCCTCTGATACAATCCCCTTAAAGGTGTATTGTAGGAAGGGGCGCATGGGATTATTTAGGAGGGATGACTCAGCTAAAAGAGGGAATATTCTAGAGGAGAGGTTGTTAGAGGGAAGCTCCAATTCTGTTAGTATTGATGAGGTGGCTATGAGAGAGAATTAAATGATTAAAAGGCAAAAGCATCATAAGGAGAGGAGGCTGGAATTGGGAGAGCTCAGCACCTCTCGAAAGTGCTGAACCAGCCTTGAGTGTGACATTCTTCAGTAGATTTCCATAATTTCCATTAGACTAGCTTATGTACTGAAATTTGCCTTTGCAATTGTCTGTTGATTTTTCTGTAATTTGTATTCTGCATTTTCTTTAATTAAATATCAGAAAATCCAGTTTACTGGGCCAAAAAGGTGTGTTTGAATCCTTTTATTGTTCATTCTGAAAACCAGTTCTTAACATCCTCTCATATTACTTCCTAACAAAAACACAAATAAATAATGAACTCAACATAAATATTAGTAGATCCTACTGTAATTATTTTTGTATCTTTCTCATAAACATGAGAGGATCCTCATCCCAGAGGAAATTCAACTAGTTGATATTACTCTAACTAATAAGGGCACAAATATCATCAATCACTTGTGATTGGCAGCCACTATCATCAATCACAGATGACATCCAAAGCACTTTTGCCATACATCATACATTTAGAAACAAAGTTCGGAATCATAAAAACATCATTAATAGATTAAAGAAATAATCAGAAGAAAATAGTTACCAGCATCTTGATAGCGCTCTTCAACAACAGCTTTTAGCATGTTATGCAAAAGATTGAATTCCTCGGTTTCAGTACAAGGCTGACCACTTGGCCTGCAATTATGTTACTTTTAGCTAAAAGATGTCTTTCACAATGGAAAGGGTACTAATAATGAGACATATTCCAAGATTTTATTATTTTCTTTTAAATAAAAAAAATAAGGAGACCAGAAATCACACATACTACAGACAAGTCATACTGCCTTACAATAATAAGGTGTCTTTTTCACAAACATACCGGTCCATTTCAGTAAATAAACGGCCATCCAAACCAGGGAACTGTGTTGAAAGTTTGCCTGATTCAATTACTCTCATTCCATCACTGAATGCCAAGTACTTGTTGACTTGTATTGGCACCTACAGCATTGGTAAAATAGTAAAATCTCCAATAAACAAGTTTCATTTTTAGCAAGTATAACTTTAGGATTTGACATTTGGTCAAAACAATCCAACAGTGGATCCAAGAATATTAAACTTGCCTTAACAACAGCCACTTTGAGAAATAAAAATGTCAATAAAAAATCCTGCCAACACTTGATTTTTTTTAACATCAACCAGGGCAAAAATGAACAACTGCCACGCAAAGCAATAGGAGAATGCAATATGATGCAGGTGATGATGTATTCATATGCATGAGATTACTAAGATTACCTTGCATCTTACTGCAATATTGATAGCATCTGAAGGTCGAAGATCAAAGCTCATACATTCCGCCTCATTTCCAACCTATCCCAAATATAGTTATACTGTCATACAACACTTGGGCTAAATGTTGTGTGCTTTTGCTCCCTTTTGATTTTTGGTGGGAGAAGAGGAGGAAAAGAACAAATGAAATACCTTGGTAAGATACAACTGAGCAAAATACGCCTCATGAACTCTCCTAGTAACTCTGACAAGTCTGACCTGCAGAAGCAGGAAATGACATGATTTGCTTATTAATATCATCACGGAATCTGATGGAAAGATCACAATATAATCAAGATTAGAAGTAAGTGTATAAAGACAAACTGAATCATACTTCGTAACCCATCCTGTCAATCATATCCTTCATTACTTGATATAAAGTAGGTCTAGCCTGACACAGCAACCAAATAGTTAGTATCACATAAAACCAGAATCTTTCTGTATCAAACGTTTGATTAATTATACATCTTGGAAGAACAAGGAGAAGTATTCAGATATGTCTGAGGGTAATACAGTGGAATTCAACTGACAAAGACATACCATTGGAACATTGCGTACTGCTGCCATTAATAAGACGCTTGGCATCTCCACTGCAAATAAAGACATTCCAGAAATTTACAATTGTATGCATATGAAATTATCAAAATCAAATCAAAGAACAAATTTTACATGATAAAAATACATACAGGGAGTAAGAGAGAAGACATACAAACAATTATAGGGAGAAGCAGACCAGTCCCATCTTCAATCTTCAATACAATAGCAGGATGTGGTGCATAATCTGGAAGATGTCCTCCCTGAGGATTGTTATGGATGCATCTCAAGTGTCTTCCATCCCTCATTTTGATTATGAAACCATCTACTCCACTCTTCACCTCAACTAGTCAACAAAATCACAGAACAAGACTATTTCATAAGACCCAAATGGGGGAGGAGACACTGTTTTGCCAAAGCTTCTTGCACTAGCATTATACACATTCAGTTAGCTCAAGTCAACCGTTTAATTAACACAGGAAACTCCGAAGATGAGCATGCTATCTCGAAACAATGCACTTAACATTTTAATATCAGTGTCATATTGATCATACCAATTTACAGTCAAGTAAACACAATTAGTAGATAAGCATACCAGCTTCAACCACACTAGAGTTAACATAATCTTCATCTTTTTCGTCGAAATTCTCCGCGGTACTTCCGCTGCCATTCGAGAATGAATTGAAACTACAATGCACTGTCTTGTACTTTCGCGTGTTCATATGGCAAGAAAGGAAACTCGGCTTAGTCTTGCGTCCCCAAAACTCACTTCTAACACACCTAACGTTCATTGCCCCAATCATAGAAAAGCTGCAGAACCCTGATAGTTTAGCACGGACAGAGGGACACACAACTGGTCCTTGCAGAGAACCCATTCTCAAGTGGAAAATAGCTCTGCGAAATTCATTGATCACAAACAGTTACACGTTTGTTATTATTAGGGAATGTAGACAATTCTGATTCTGTTACTGCTGCTGATTCTGTTACATAAGTCAGTTATGATTCTGTTAGCTTCTGATTCTGTTACATAAGTCAGTTATGATTCAGTTAGCTTCTGATTCTGTTACACAAGTCAGTTATGATTCAGTTAGTTCTTAAGTTCAGTTTTTTTGATTCAATGAAATTCACCGTTCGTCACAGTTAGCATACAAAAACTGTTAACAAATTTACAATATTTCACGACACAAAAAAGGAAATTAGATTAATATAATCATAAATTAGGGGGGGAAAAACAAAAAATGAAAATTAGATTTTCATGGACTTTTTTTTTTTCATACCTTTTTCCCGGCGATTACGATGAGTGATTATGAAGTATCGGAATTACACCTGGAAGAGAAGATATGAAGCTCTCTAACTTGCGCTAAAGGTCAACACAATCGCGAGGACCGATCACCGCAACAAGTATATGAATGAAAGCCTCGTTAAAATTTCGGCAAGTTTTACTTGGTGATTTAGAATTTTATTATTTGTACATAAGATCGTGTAAAGGAAAATCAGAAATGGAAAAAAAGGAAGAAAGGGAGTGGAAATTAAGAGAGAGTGAAACGGTGAAGGAGAATACTAAGATGAGATCAAGGGAATGAAAGATGGGAAAGAAGATAAGAGATTCTTCGAGCAAGATGTCAAAGCAAAGAAATAAACATAGAGAGAGAGAGAGAGAGAGGCACAGCTATAGCATGCGTGTGCGTGAATCAAAGCATAAAGGTGCAATCACTGTTATACCCTCTCCCACCGATTATTTAAAAACCATTGGCGATATTTATACGTAAGTGTGGAAAGGCCCAAACAAACTATTATCTTTATTTTAAAATAAATAAAGAAAGAGAATACTTAGGTTAAGAATAACCACATAAACATAATGGAAAGTTAGAATAGTTGAATTTAAATATTCATTCCTCTTAAAGACTTTGTTTACTTAAAAAAAGAAGAAGAACTGAGAAAATTAGATCCACGTGTTTAAAATCATAAATTATTTTAAATAAGATTACCTGGTTCGAATTCTCTTTTACTTTAGTGTCTTAATATTACTAAAACAAATTAATATTAGAACGCAAATTTAAATTATCAATAAACATTTAAAAATGTGGAAGATATAGATAGAAAACACAACATATATATGATAATTCTTTTTAAGATAATTTTGTCCGGATAATTTTAAAAGTAAAACGGGTATGTGTTAACAGTTAACTGGTATGCCTCAGCTAAGAGTAGATGTTTCCCATTTTGTTTTTTGTTTGATCCAAACTAAGCAAAAATATGATACAGGTAAGTGTTAACACTATTAGCACATCTCAATATTATAAATCGACGGGTACCATATGACATGTTTATTATAAAATCTCAAAAAATTAATTTGATTATTAATATTACTTTTAAAATACATAAAAAAATTAAATATTTATCAATAATAACTATTACGATTTTTTTTTCTTAATATAGAATAATCATTAAATGTTTGAATATTTAGAAATACATATGATTACTAAACAAGTTACTGTTTCGAGCCCGAAGGGCAGCTAGGACTTTTCAGATAATGGACAGAAAGCCTCAGTTATTTGGTCAATGACATCAAGGTTAGAAAATGCCACGTGGCCAAACACTTCTCCGATGATATGGATAAGGTTTTATGATCAATTATCATCCTACTAAAATATCTTCTTTTCATCTTTTAAAAAAACAAAAAAAAACAAAAATCTTCATTTTGTTCATGATAGTCCAGGTATATTATCCACTTCATTTGGAAGATAGAGTTCATAATATGATAATATATTCGGCGATGTTTTCAGACTTGGTTTCAACCGGTCAGGTCGACATGTAATCTCGTGAATCCGACATTTGGTCGATGTAAGTCAAATATTACATCGGTCATGTATCAAATCTTACGAAAAATGGTTCAAATAGGTCGGGTTTTTTCATAACCGATAACCCGATCGAGTCATCAAAATCGATGGATTATGTATTTTTTATAAAAAAAAAATGAAAGTTGTCTCATCTTGTCTTTAAAAAGTGTGAAACTTCTCTCAAAATTTTTTGTAGTTTTATTTGCTAATAATATGATCTCTTATAGTGACCTCAAATTTCAACTTCAAAGACTAAAACAATTTGCGGAACAGTAGATAAAGAGAATGCGACATGACGACATATTGATTCCTTGCAAATCCATTTTTATGACAAGAGTTGTTGGTAAATGTCTTATAATTATTAAAAATGGTTAGTTGAGGATATTTTGTAGAGGAATTATATGTGGTTACTGAAGGTATATCATCAGAAACGCGGAAGCGCATCGTACCGATGCGATGAGGAATGAAGAACACCGCTTTGATTACCTGGAATGAAGCAACGAGCGTGACAAATTCTCACGTTCAGTTCTCCTCCTCAAGCCTCACGATCTGCAGCAACGCACCACGAACGGTCGCAATTCCGCTCTACGGTTGACCTTCCAAGCTATGACTCAAGGGGATCAGGGAGTCGTGTGGGCAACCGTTCAGATGATGAACGTCTGCCTCTTTGGTCTGTTTCTGATGTCTGTAACCCTTTAAGGCACTAGAGAGAAAAGAGAGTTTATATACTCTGCCCCATCCAAGACTAACCCTAAGTTTCATGGGTTGAAATTAGTCTTTTGGGCTCACTCTCACTAAAGCTATTAGGTTTAAGTGAAAAGAGCATATTAAACCCAACAATCTCTCACTTGCTCTTTTGGACACAAACTTGAGTTCATAAACCCAAGACTATGTAGCCCATAAGCCATCATCATCTGATTATACAACGCATCCCTTGTCTCGAGCTAACCTGGGGACCTACCATCTGTCACTCATCAAGGCTCCTGATAATCTTTGAAAGATTATCTAATTCGGCGCTACTCCACTAAAAGCCCGAACGTGAACTCCAAGATTAATGACCCTTATAACATGAATATGCATCGCCCCTTTGTAGAATGTCTATAATTGATTGACAAGTTTTCTGTAACTTAATCAATTATTTATTCCCTTGACTATGATAGTTTCTCTAATGGATTACATGCACTGGCCAGTGTCTTTAATATCCAAGTACCGAAACATATCAAGGGGACATATCCTACAAATTCCATGTTGTTTATCTCATAAATACCGATAATCAAATAATCTCACTCCCAAAATACCGAGTTATTGGCCGTCAATAGATCGAACCTCACCCGTTGGTAAATCAAAGAATGAAAACTATTTGATTAACTATTTATAATAAACTCAGGATTAAGAGCAATCACATAACTATAGTTAACAGGAGATTTGATACCTTATGACAGAAAAACAACCTTAATCAAATCTCTCCTTGATCCTTTCAATGTGAATGTTAATTCACACCAATATTTTACAATGATTCGGACAAAACCATTTTATAAAATATTGCAGCCTAAATAAAGTGCCCAACTTTATTTAACAGCTGTGAATCCATTCATCAATTGTGAGAACTTATGATCATGTCCTCCATGAATGTATCCATATGATCATATACTCCACAATTTGATCCGGACCTTAATGTTTGTAAATAGTGTGCAAAATAAATAAATAAAACCTTATTTATGAAATTCAGAAAATTATTTTATTGTTTCATCGTCTTACTCCAAGAGCACAATGAAACCAATAACTCTCACTCGCTTAATGCAAGTCTGGGATCCTCCTAAGACCTAAAGAAGTAACATGCCTCCTGAACACAAATTCAGGCAAACTCTTAATAATTGGGTCTACAAGATCCACCTCTATTCCTATCCTAGTTTAGTAAAACTCATAGTTCCAGGTTGATTTTCTTGAGTCAATGTCCATTTGAAATAATCGAATTTGTGAAAACTCAGCTTTTCAAGACTCCCACTAGAATATACTAGCATATAATCTCTGGTTCTCCAAAGATACTTGAGTACATGCTTAACAATAAGAGTAAATACCCTTTTTCGTCCCTGGAAATATTTGCGAAGCACAATTTAGTCCCTCGGTTTAAAAAAGTCACATCTCAGTGTTTCATATTTGAAAAAAAGGGCCACGTCCGTCCTTCCGTTAGTTGGCATCTAACGGCCCAACTAACGGTGCACACGTGGACCGTCACTTTGCTGAGTCACCGTTAAGTATGCCAGCTTGGAAGTAAAACGACGCCGTTTTGAAGGTGCCTTATGTCTTGTTGGAGTTTTGAACAGCTGAAGGTCCTATTTGGTCCCTGAAAAATTTATCGAGGCCCTATTTGGTCCTTAACACTAAAAAATCACCATTGCAGCAAACCTTTCAAACCACCATTGCAGCAAACCAAGGCTTATGCTATTGGCCAAGGCTTATGCTATTCGATCAGATTTCTCATTGTCAACAACCACCTGAAACCAAAAAAAGGATTACAACAATCTTTTACAATATATAACGAGCTTTCTACAGTACATATGAAGTGCCAATATGGATACAACCTTACCCAATGAAGCAGTAACCAACCCCTTTGAACGTCTAGGACATCCAACATAAGTCCTATTTAAAAGTACTTATGAGCCACTCACCTTCACTACTCAGGGTTATGCAAATGGATTATTTGCACCAGGAAGATGCTCCAAGTGGTTGCCCTTGAACTGCAGTGCAGGGGATTCAAGTACTGAGCCCTACATGGTCACTCACCACCAGATTCTTGCTCATGCAGCTGCTGTCAAAGTCTATAGGAACAAGTACCAGGTTACTATATAAACTATAATTAGAGTATGGAGAATATATTGATTGAGTCTTTTGATTTTATTCAAACAACCAGTGCACAATATATAGCCAAACAGAAAGCTGAAAAAGGAAAAATTAACTACAACCCCCACTGTTGATATGTCAATAAATGATTGAGATTGTTCACATGACATGATCATGAGATTGCTTTCCAACATAAACCATATTTGTAATGCACTACAGATTAGAATAAATTGAAGTGAGAGTCATCAAATTAGTTGTTGGTAAATTGGTAGAGATAAATTTAACTAAGAGTGGCTTTATTTCATTTAGAATTATCAAAAGGGACAAATTGGGATAACATTGAACTCTCCATGGGTAATGCCACTTTCCCAGTCAAAGGCAGATATAGAAGCAGCATCTAGAGCCCTTGCTTTCCTATATGACTGGTAATTTTTCCTACTTATTCTTCTTTTGGCTTCACATTAATTGCGGTGGTTATGGTTTATATGGACTTAATAAAACATCATAATATTTTTCTGGTAACGTGCCTAATGGATAAACGGACCTAACTCAAATTATTTCCTGACTTCCGAGGTTTATCGAGCCACTGAATTCTGGATCATACCCTGCTGAAATGGTTGATAATGCTGGTGAAAGATTGCCAAAGTTTTCAAGGGAGCAGTCCTTGATGGTTAAAGGATCTTTTGATTTCATAGGACTTAACTATTACACCGCAAATTATGCAGCCAATGTCCCTTGTACAAGTGAAAACCAAACTATTTTCTCAGATGCTTGTGCTTCTCACAAGTAAGACACAATAAGTGAAATATATTTTTTGGTTTCAGTTTGATCTTTCTTATGTTTAGAAAGCATTTGCTTACTTGAGATCTTAATTGTTGCATCAGCAACGAGAGATGGAGTTCAGATTGGTCCAAAGGTAAATGCATATTTTGGGATAACTGCTAAACACATTCAG